CAGCCCCACTGTTTAAGTGGCTTTGGGCTGTTTATCATAACAATGCAATAAGAATATTTAAGAAGGTAATTCTCGAGAGTGCAGGTGTTCACAAAAGAGAAAGGCCAGCACTCCAGTGTGGTGGCTCTCAACCTGGAGTCCAAGAAGACAGTTTAGAAACTCTGTGACATGGATGGGAAAAAAAATCTTGCCTTTGTGCACGTGTGTGATCTCTCTCTTGCTCTCAAAAAAAAAAAAAAAAAAAAAAAAAAAAAAAAAAAGAGGCCACAGATATTTTCAAATGACGTTGTAATTGTTGCACGTATCTTAAAATATCATTTGCATCCATTGCTACTTGGAAACTACAGCAGTTACTAAGCCTGCCAACTACAGATTATTTAATGAATGAATAAAGCACAATATTACTACATAACAAATTTGTCTTAAAATATTTTGATAACTATTTTAATGTAATTGTTTTCCTTTGTCACCTCAAATATGCGTTTTAGAAGTTAAAACACGTTAATTCTGAGAAAGCATCTGTGGACTGTCAAAAGACCGTCAAAGCGGCCCATGGCACAAAATGGTTACGAACCCCAGGCTCAGGTGAGAGTCAGAGGCTAGTACATCCAGGCTCAGAGTTTTCAAGTCTTATACTAGCTATTATGGGTTCTGTGGCTTGTTTGAAATAACAAATACCTTTACAGTTGAGATTCCTGCACAAAAAGGTAACTTGTTGCAAAGCTGAAACTCTTAATCCTCTGCCCTGTGAGAACAGTTGTCTGATACAAGCTGAACATCCCAGCTTCTTAGGGCAGATTCCAGGCAGATCACATCCTCAAAGGAAGGTGACCTGAGTCCATTTAGAAAGTGATTTCTGCGGCCAGTGGAACCAAGACTGACCGCAATGGGTAGCATCCTTCCTCGGCAAGAGCACCTCCCGCCTCACCTCACTAATGGCTGCGGTCACTCAGGAACCTCACTCAGGAACCTGCTTTTTTACCAAACCCAATTCCTGGGCAGTGGTATAAATGCAGAGCAAAATGCTCAGGACCATGCAGTCTGCAGAGGAAAAATACTCCCCGTGTGCACGGTTTCCTGTTTTCCTTCCCGTCTGAGTTACAGAGTGGCCACACATTCACACTTTACACTGAGGAAATGAGTCTGTCTTCCCACCGTACAAAGCAGGGGGCGGCAGCAACAGATGTGAACGTTAGATTCTCAGAAAACCAAGGACAGCCATCCATCCACAGCAAGGACCGCATCTTGAGATGGTCTCTTTACGCTGTCTTTGTCAGAGCTGGAGGTTCTACGGTGCCTGGAAACGTTCCTCAAACCCCTCTGACCCCAGGGCCCAGACAGGGCTGACCGCCTGGTAGGTTCTCCATTAATGCCTGTTGGATACTGAGTCAACAACAGCTTGTTTTTCTCTCTTACCTGTCTTTTCATGGCTTTTCCTAAATGTCTCTTGTATTTTCTTACTTCTCCAGTAGGAATAGGAAAGGGTTGGCTTTTTTTTTTTTTTTTTTTTT